TATTAACCCCTATACCAGTTACTATATATACTGTAGGAAAACCCATGTATTCCTTAGTTCAACCTCCTGTTGAATACAGCGATTACCTGGACTCTTGACTTGACCATTGGCATTGGCCCGGCCAGACCTACCTTTCAGTACGCTTACTGAGGTAGTGACGACATAACTGTTGGCACGTGGCCCAGTTATCTCAAGATGACTAGTTAGGACATTGCTTCCTAACAAACCCTGATGGCGTATCCAGGTTTTCTAGTGCTCCTCCGAGTACTTTGACTAGTCTCACTGATTCCGATGTGGATGATATGGCGGCTCAGTTGGGTGTCATGGATTTGGTTGCTGGGGTAGAAGGTGTAGAGTTTCCTCCTGGTACCGGTCAAGTCAAATGGGCCAGTGGTATAGTTACTATGGAGCCTTGGATTACGCCTATTGGTCAAGATGGTCCGGTACGTTTTTTTCTGATCGGATATGTTTTCTATCTTGATTGTTTTATAGGATGTTTTGGGTGTGCGGTCTATGGCCTCCACTCCGGATATATCCCAAATTGAGTCTAAAGACTCTTTTGTGTATATCTTCGATATTCGTGATTTGTGTAAGAACATCGACGATCTGGATTTGGAGGATCGCACTACGGTAGTTCACCTTATCAAGGATAAGATATCCCGTGGTATTCCGGTTCTGGTCAGAGGATTTCCTCTTCCTTCCATCGAATGGGATTTCTCCTCTGTAAATCGTATGAAGGGTTCTTTGCTTAATCCCATTTCTATTCAAGGTATGATCTGTTTATTCTCGAAGGAACGTATTCTTACAACTCTTTCTTTTTTGATTTCTGGTTAGAGGCTCGACTTCGTATGGCTTCAGAAACTTATACCAAGAGTCCTGTTGCCGATCTCCACCTGGAATTGAAACTGGGTGATTTTATAGCTGCCGCCACTGAGCCAGATTCTGAGGATAGTCCGAAGATGTGTGGCAACTTATTAGACAGCCATTCTGTTGATTGGTCAGCAATGCCTTGGGTTATCACGTGAGTTCTTTATTTTCCCGGTTGATGTCTCTCTCATGTATAATAGGGACATAAACGAGCAAGCTACCACGGTTTATCAAAACCGGCGGGACTGGCATATTCGACTCAATAAGAATGCTGAAGGAAAGGAAATAGCCGAGCCCGAGACCTTTAGTGGGCCGCAGAGTATGCATCCTGATGGCTGGCAACTGCAGATGTGGGACCTGTTCACTCACGGTGGATTTTTCACTCGCATTCATCATGATGCGGCCGGCGCCGGTACTTGGATGGCTATAAGAGTGGGAGGGAAAATGTGGAATTTGGTGGACGTTTCTCAGCAGGGCATTCGATCTCGGGACCGTCTTGTGGATCGGTTCTACCATGCTACAGATCTCTTTACAGGAACTCCCAGTCAACCTGTGCCTCATAAGGCCATCACTGTTTGTTTGCAATGTGGAGATATTCTGTGAGCTTTAATTCAGTCATATATATGTTCTTTATATGTTTTATTGATGTGCCTGGTGCTTAGTATCCAGCCGCCCAATATTATGCATTGTGTTTACACTCCGGTGAAGAGTATCGCGACCGGGGGCCATTTTTACATGTATTCTTCTATGCATCTTACGCAATTTGGCTGTCGGGTGGACCATCGCAAGGGTGGATGGACTACTAACCAGGTTCATCCCGGTGCTTCTCATCTCATGATCAATATGGCCCTGGCTCTCCCGAACTTTTCTGACAAGCCGATGCTCAAAGTTCCTTTTCTGGGTTTAGCTCGCCTTATCTTGGATAGAGACGCTTATGAGCCAAGCCTTGATGGTGTTGGTACAGCTCGGTATTATCCTCAAGACATTCAACATCGGGAGGAGTTGGGAGAGTTGGACAAGGTGAAGAAGATCATCCAGGCTGTATTGGAAGCTAACAATATTCCTCTGTCTCAGGTCGACATTCTTCTGCAGTCTCTGGGACGTGATTACAAAGATCCCGGTGATGAGCAGATGGACTTGTCCTGTCTTCGAGAGTGAGACACTATCCGTGTGGATGAAGATTATCGTCAGGTTTTGAAGGACGTGGTTTGGTTTGAGCAGCAGAAGGTATCTGCTGCGGCAGCCTCTGGGGCTGGTAAAGTCGCTCGTCAGCGGTTGAGGGAGGCTATCCAGCTTGAGAAGCATTCTGTTCGTGGAAAGAGTTCCAACAACTAGTAATGTGCTGTCTCTGTCTTTGAGTGTAATGTTTGATTAGGTCAATTGTAGACATATTTTGCATGAGCTTTGTTATTTTTTGCTGCTTTTGTAATCTGACCGGTCTCTCATTGTCTGTTACTGTTGGATTCATTGTTTCATTTATTTCGGGCTTGACTGTGCATCAGTAAGATTCCTCGCTACATGGTGTCAATTTGAAGTCGTTGCGGCTGGTAGTCACCAATGTCGACTGTCTCTTATATATTTTGTAGTCAATCTGATGCTGCCTCGACATCACTGTCGACTGCGGTTTTGTAGAGCGTATTGATTTTGTAGTCGCCGCGGCTCATATCCACTGAGGTCGACTGCCCGTTAGAGCTTTAAGCTCCGATGCTTACCGTGTGAAATATCCTTCGAGATGATTATGTTCCCACGGTTGGTTTCCTTATCTGAGTTGTGCTTTCAGCACATTGTATTACTTTGATGTGCAGTGTGTTTGAGGATGCGTGTTTATTCATTCCCTGCATTTACCTCTCCGTCACCACGTGTTCATACCATTAAGGTCCGAAGCTGGTTGAAGCCTTTATAGTCGGTCCGACGACTTAGTATCCACCACGGCTCATAGCCATCGTCGACTGCCTATCATATATTTTGTAGTGCGTCCAAGGTTGTATTGACTTTGTAGCCACCGCGGCTCATAGCCACTTAGGTCGACTGCCTATTAGAGCTTTAAGCAGAGCTGTTTACCGTGTGAAATATCCTTCGAGGAGATTCCGTTCCCACGATGAGACTGGTCTTCTGGGTTTTGGAATCCCGTACTTTCTGTTGATCATTATATGCTACGCCTTGTACTGTGCATATAGGGATGTGCACTATATATCAGATGTCGTTTAGTTATTGGTCTGCTGTATTCATTGGTCAGTCAAAGCATATTAAGGTGGAATAGAAGCATCATACCCGGTTTGTGCTTCTCAGGCCTGGGCACAGCATTGTGTGCGCTGGTGTAACTTCCACGATTATCTATCCATTCGTCCTTTACTATGATCTCGGGCACTCCTGGCATTATTGACTATGTTTTCTTGCGGCGGATAGCGAAGCACTGCATCTCTGTGATGTGCAGCACTTTGTGTAACATGTGTTTATTCCATACAAGGGGAAATGCTAAGGTTTACTAACAAAGAAGCCGCGGTACGTGGCTAGTCAGACTCCATCCTTTCCTCCGACCTCATCTCCATACGCATTTTTGAGAATTGATATCCGGCGTTACGAATGTCTTCATCCTCATGCCCGCATCGCCACTTTATCTTTGGTAGGGAAGTGGCTTCTTCTTTCCTTGTGAAAGCCTCGGTATGTTATCGTGTTTTTCTATAATGAGTCCGGTCTCTCATATTATGTAGGAAAACTACTAGGAAGTCTGTCCCTAGCAAGCATATGGGCAGCTAAGTCGACGGTATTTTTCAGATATCATCACGTTGATAAGCCCCAACGATCTTCTGACCCCAGAAATTGCGAGATTGACACATCGTACATCCCCTCCAAAGCTTATTCGACACCACCTGTCGAACTGCTTACGCTACAAGTAACCGGCGAAGGGTTCTGGATTTAATTCCGGACCTTCTAACGTCCTCAAGGCAGGCGCAGATCAACAATATGATTTATCTCCGCAGCCAGACGCTCCGAAGTCAACCGGAAGAATACTTTCGTAACTAATTATCTCCGGGAACGGCGGAGGCCCGCGTCGCAGTGAGTCATTGGTATTACCACTCCCCAGTCATCACGCCCCTTCGTTTCCGTCAACGCGACCGAGTCAGCGGACGTAAATCGACGGCTGGACGGAACGTATCAGTCAGCAAACGGCTGGAGCTAAAACCGCACGTGGTCGGCCTGCAGTACCGCGTGATGAGGCACTTTAAGCGAGCATGGACGCGTCGAGGATACCTCTAGGACCTAGGACGAGCAGGTGGAAACACGGTAGGGTCGTATGGGACATGGTATAGCGGTGGGCAAAGGCTGAGTAATTGTGTGGGTTGCGGAGCATATTTGTTATTTAACTCCGGACGGGCGCAAAGCCATTCCAATGGTATAAAAATGTATGGAGCGTAGTGGAAAACATAAGTTTTGTACTTCACCCTCTCAGCGAACCAGAATTACCGTCTCAGCGATCCTCGGAGTCCCTTCGCGTCGGACTTAGCGTCTATAATCGATCCTAGCTTTGCCAATAGGCCTGACTCGTCGAAACCAGAAAACTCCGCCATCGCATATCGAGCCAAGTAAGCTCCGGATTTAAAGTATAAAATTCACCAAGCGTCTGTAGGCCCGAGATTATTGTGTGGGCTCAGTGGAACTCTCCACCCGGGCTACTGGTGGACGTCGGAGATAAATACTCCGGAGAATCGCTATACCGTTTGTTTCAGGCCTCAAGATTTTGTTTGTTTTAGGTTTTCCTACGGGCTACCCTACGGCGTCTTACTTCTCCCCCTCCCTTCGAACTTAAATATTACCCTTCAATCGCCTTAGACCGCCTTCACCCATACCGCTGGGTGTTATAGGTTTTATTCCATTATTGGTCTTTGGTGTTGTCGTGTGTCAGTGCATATCAACGTGCTCATTGTCATTTATATTTCCACAGTCCCGTGGGAGTGGTACAAACTCTCCAGTCCAAGACAACAAGCAGAAAGGCGCCGGTCTGCGTAGGTTCCGATGAGGAGGATGTGATCGTTGTGCAGTACAATAGGTAAATACACTTTCAATACTTACCATGATTTGTTCTTATGTGTCCTGATAGCGATAAATCTCAGCCCGATTCCCCAGTGCGTAAGATGGGTGGAAGTCGAAAGAATGCTGTGAAGCCGAAAAAACACGACGTGAAGGGCAAGAGCCGCGAGATCGTCAAGTCTGAAGATGATAAGAGTGACGTCAAGCTCAAAATGTAAGTGTATGCAAGCTGCGTTTCATATCAGCCGTCATGATATACATTAGATCTAGTTGAAAATCCACATCTCGTGTTGCCGGCGACAAACAAAAACCGTATGCTATGAAAGGAGACGATGATTCGAATGAGGAGTATGTGTCAAAAACCTCACCATTTCTTTTTAATATTAATAATCATCCAAGCGAGTTCCCTCTATATCCGAGTTGGCAGCATCTACTATAAAGGACAGGAATCCTGCCGTTACAAGCATGCCCAAAAAGATGTGAGTGATAACGGGTTTTGGAGCAAATCAGCTGAATCTGAATGAAAATAGTATGATCAAGGGCACGAAGCGCAAAACTGACCTCGATGATATCTCCGGTGATGAACGTGACAGCAATATCCAAGAGGTCGATGTAAAGGCTTCAGTAAATAAGTGTGTATTCAAACGCGTCTGAGACCTACCTAATACCATGTTTTCGAAGGTCCGCTAAGCGTGCTAAGACCAACCTTGCGGTTGGCAAACACGTCGAGATTAGGAAGAAAGGAGTTGAATTTGATGAAGGAGAAGTCAAATCTGATGAGGGAAGTGATGACGAAGTTTGCATTCCAGGAGTGAAGTCAGTTTTTGCTATATTATCTAACACATAATGTAACTCTCGTGATCCACAGAGGGTATGGCAGCGATGATGAAAACAGCCATGAGCACGAAGAAGTCAAAGACGAAGCGATGGAGCTTCCAGTTGTTCGGTGCATTCAGGCCAATGTCATTATTGTTGAATTTGCTCATATATAGGTACGTACATAGAGGTCGCCAGACACCTACCACGCCAGAGCCACCTGAGGCCGATGATATCGTGCAGTAAGTTCAGTCTCCGATGTTGGACAGCAATTTTCATGGGAATATTAGGCACGGACCGGACGTCACATTGAAAGAAGAACTAATGGACCCGTTGCTCAAAGCCACATACGTGAATCTCCCGCATCTCCCTCGGTGAGTGTTCTCATTTAATTAATGCACTTTACTGAACACATGGTGTAAGACTGGGTAAACTGAAGCCGGCGTCCACCTATGGCCAATACAGCGAAGGCGGTCA